CTACACTGCAAAAACAGACCTATGGCAGCAAATCTTAGAGCCCGGCTCAACTGACTCGGGCTCACACTACGTGGCTAAAAATAGTAGTGTAGACAGGACCCTCCCCCCTTGCAGTGTCCCACAGCTTGGACTCCAGTCTGAGCCTGTCTAAATAGCAATTTTTCAGTCTCAAAGCGAGAGCCCTGCGAGCCTGAGTCAGCTGACCCAGGCCAGCTGTGGGTTTTTATTTCCATGTAGACGTACCCTTTGACACACTGTAGCCCTAACACTAGGGCCAGTTCTGGCAGGCTGCACAGCCCAATGCAGCAGGGGTGCCAAGTTGGGAGGAAGATAGACTAAGTGTTCGGTCCTACTCTAAGCCAGCTATGCGCTCCATCGGCTGCAAGGCAGAGGCAGCTGCTGAAATTCATGCTGAAGGCCTTATTGAGGGCAAAATACTCAGCAGCAGAGGAAATGGACTCTTGGGACATGAAGGGAAGAGGGTTCTGTAGGGGACGATGGTGCCCCTAAGCGAGAGACTTTCTCCAGGTTTATGTTAGATGGAGAGCTCCAAATAAACAGCGCTTGCCAGGCTCCACTAATGTGCCTGAACAGGCCACGCCTATCATGCTTGGTCCCCAGAGCTCCCTTAAAAAGGCTACTCAGGAGAGCGGGATATTTTCCTGACGAGACGTATTTTTCACAAAAAAAATGGCTTTTCATTTCAAACAAAAAGTTGCAGGGAAAATTGTTGATTTCAACTCAACTGTCTGGTTTTTCAAGGCAAACCTGGAAATGGAAAACCAAATATTTTTAATGAAAAGTGAACTTTTTTTTAACCGAAACAGTTTTCAAAAACTGAAAAAAATTCAATTTGGGGTTTCAGTTTTTGTCAAATGTGAGAAATTTCAATGAAAATGAAAAAAAGCACCCCTAACATTTATTTTTTTTGCAAGTGTCCTGCAAAAAATAATTAGTTTGTGTTTTGACCAACTCTATTGTCCGACTTTCAAATGCACAATGGAAGTGCTCACAGCCACCAAATTACACTAAGCCGCGCACACATGTATATCCGTATGAAATCACGCATCGTCACTGGAACTATTTGAGCGGCAAGGTGCTGTTCAATGTGTGTAAAAGTAGCAAAATCTGCTTTCTATGTCAGTGGAAGCTAGTGGGGGCTGCGTGCTTCTGAGAATCTGTTCACTTCATTAAGTTGCCTAAATGAGAGCAGAGCTCTTTTGAGAATCTGGCCCCACATAAACATGGGTCAAGTTCATGGTGATATGAAGTTGCAGCTAAGCCATTACCTGAAGGATCCTCTGGAAACTTTCAACATCACAGTCCTCACCCAGAGCCGCCTGCACCGCACGTGTTATCACATAGCACATGCACGATCTGGGATTCTGATACATCTGAGCAGCTTTGGCTTCAGTGACTAGTGAATTGCATACAGCCTTGGAGAGCACATCTGGATCTGCAAACATGAAAACTCTGTGGAAATGAAGGGTTGAAAAAATAGATGCATAAAATAAATGAATATGGTTATCAAAGCAGAGTATGCAAAAAGGCAGGAGTCAAAGAAGACTGGGAGGGCAGGTAAGGCATGCCAATGTACATCCAACATGCAAGGTCACGGCTGCCACTTTAATGCTTCAGGGCTTACGCTGTCAACCAGCCAGTGTCAGGAAGAAATTCATCCTGTGGTGTAACACTGCACAATGAAGGAATTAAAACCTGCTGAAGAAGCCAGCATTGTTCCCCATCTGGAGCAAGGTACTAGACTAGGTGGGTCATTGGCTTTTTCTGGTATGGCTGGGTCTATTCCCATGTTGGGTCTAATCCTGCAGGCAGAGATTCAGAGAAAAAGAAAACTGTCTGCCACTGGGCCAGGTTCAACCCTGGTGTACATGGATACAACTCAAGTGAAGTCAGTGGAGATGCACCCTCTTACCCAAGAGTTGAATTTGGCTCATAGTAATTATTTGCACTCTCAGACTGGAATGAATATTTTGGGTCAGCATCATTCTGCTCAATTAAACAGAGCTGCTGCAGATACTTCCTGTGCTTCTATACCTGTCTAGGGGAAGCTCCCTGCTCCTGGAAAGCCAGCTGGAATACTCAGTAAAACACCGGCTTCCTAACACCAAGCTTGTTTTAACAAACCTGAGATGCCACTGACATCTATTGTATTCTGCTTTGTAATACCACTAGCAGGGCTTCAATTTTGCTCCAGTTCTGTGCTACCAGCTGTTAGATTTTTGATAGTATTGCCCGGTGCCATTAAATGCTGTGTCCAGTATGCAGGAAAGGCACAGATTTTGCTGCAAGATTAAAATGCCATTTAAAAGCCACACTAGAACAGGCAGTACGTACCTTTCTTGATAAGGATATGGATCACTCTTCAGACTTTGTTCAGAAATAATCATTCTTTGGTATAACACCCCTAACAAATAAAAATATTCACATGCAACAGATAGTAACAAGAGAGTGGCCTGATCCTGCTCTCATCCTGGCATGAGTTAGGAGCAACTTTGCTAAATCAGTGGAGCTACACGGCGCTAAAGCAGGCGTGAGAGGAGAATCAAGCAGGCAGTTTCATATAGCCCAGAATAAAGACAGTAAAATCTAAAAGGAATTCGGCTAGAACACATGAAAACACCTTCTGTTTAGGGATAATCCCAGCTACACACTGCCTGTATTTCATGTACTTTGCTGACTAGATTACAAGTTACAGGGTGGACTCTGAAGCAGATGCAGGACAAAGGGCTTGATTCTCTGTTGACTTTTACCCTGTGTCATCATTTGTGTCAACACAAAGTCAGTGCAAACTGCTGCCACATCGGAATGGTGGTGCTTTCCACTCCCATTGCTGTGGTGTCCATGATGACCCAAGCTGTAAGGCAATGGAGAAACTGCCCCAGAGATCCTAGTCCCATTCAACTGTTGCCAAGGGAGAGTGGTCTTGTGGTTAAAGTAGTGCTCTGGGAGATCTGTGTTCTCTTCCCACCTCTTCAGTGGAGACTGTGCCTCAGTTAAAATGGGAATAATACACCTCTACGTGGTGGGAGGGCCTGTTTGGTGCTCTAATATATGGTGATGGAAGCCAAAAAAACATAAAGAAGAAGAATTTTAACAAATGAGGCAGAGAAAACTGAAAATACAGGATTTCAGCAGTATTGTTTCTAAACACACCTATTCTCCAGAAGACACTAACTGGCTCTTCAGTATTTAGCACCTGCTTATCATAAAAAGAGATGATGAGAGAGCAAACATTGGGAAGGCTGCAGGATTAGGTTTGATGGAGATTTCTCATGGCAGGATACAGATCTAAGGAGAATGGTTTTACTGTGTGGTTTAATAACAGTCTGTCACTAGTAACCATTGTAGAGCACTGGAGTGGCCCTGCTGTGCCCATTGCAGACCAATTTCCATTGTTAATTTCTGGTTTTAGGGAATGGGACTCAGAAGTTCTGGGTTCAGTTCCTGGCTCTGCTCCAGACTCCATGTCTGTGACCTCGCGGAAACCACTTTGTCTCCATCTTGTCTATTGGAATTGTGAGCTCTTTGGGGCAAGGACTGTATTTTTGTTCTGGGTTTGTACAGCACCTAGTGCAACTGGATCCTGGACCATGACTGGAGCTCTCAGGCGCTATTGGCAATACAGATAATAGTAAATAACACAGCAAAATGCGGCTCTGATCTCAGTGAATGCCTCTGGGCACAACTGTAATCCCCAAAATAGTTATAGCACAGGGATGGTGAGTCTCCTTGAGATCTGGGTACGGAGGGTCTCTTCTAAGCACAATTCTCCTCCTTTCCGTGAAGAAGGAACTTTTGCTTCCTCCCCCACATCACTCAAAGTGAGGTTGAGGTCTCCATGAGAAGAGAGCATGGTGTGACGGTCTCCTGTGCTGCAGCCACTCTGACAACAGAATGAGAGCACTCGCTGCCTACAAGAGGACCTCTTAGACATTTAAAGACACAGTGCACAGAAAATACCTATCACCCTTCTGGGGACTTAAATAATTACTAAAGCAAAGACATCACCATTTCATAGCTACACCCCCACGCCACAGGAGATTCCACAAACCTGGTGTCACTCTTTCTATTTTTAACCGGAACGCGTAGTCCAAGCCAATGGTACAGTAAGGCTTCGGCAGGGTTAGTAGCTTTTTACAGAAGTCATACACTCTTTCATAGAGATCGTCTGAAATGCAGGGAGCCTGGAATGGGAAAGGAACAGTTAACAAGATCCCAGCTGAGATGGAGCGGCCTAAACTTAGGGTCCCTGTGTGGGAAGCTCTTCACCATATGTGAGAGCCATAAGAAACAAGCTGCCCAGGGATGCAAGGACTCAAGGTTAAGGACCAAATTCATCCTTGGTTTAAACGGATGCAACTCTAGCTGAATTCGATAGGCCTGAATCTGACCCTAAGACTAGACAAAGTAATGGAAATTCTGCAGAGATCTAGAAATACCTTCTTGCAAGGCTGCAGGGGTTGGATGTCTAAAGGCATTTAGGTGCTTAAGCACATAAGAAAACCGCATTATGTACCTATTTGCATTTTTATACCTTTGCATCTAAATACCTTTAAAAATCTGGCCCAAGGTGACCTGTTTAAACCCTATTTATTTCACATCCCATGTTGTTAAAGCTGAGAATTCAAATGCACAACATTGGGAAATTTAAGGTTCTTGCAGAAAAACTGATCCAGCCATATTGCACAGGCAAAGTTTTTGAAAATATTCTATGTAGTTATACATGTATTTGAACACTATAAATAGGTACAACATGGCTAACTGAATGGTGGGCCTGATTTTAACGTCACCTAATAATAATATCTAGCTCTTATATAGTGCTTGTTATCTGCAGATCTCAAAGTGCTTTACAAAGGAGGTCAGCATGATTATTCCCATTTTACAGGTAGAGAAACTGAGGCACAGAGAAGGAAATGACTTGCCCAAAGTCACCTACTAGCAGAGCCAGGAACCGAACCTAGGTTTCTTGTACCCCCTACTAATACAGTGTCCACGAGGCCACACTACCTATTCTGCTATAAATTGGGTGCAAGTGTTCTCAGGGCCAGGCCCCATAGCTTTGAATTTCCCTGGATTGTTAAATACCATCTGCAGATCTTACCTTTATTAGGGTGTACATTAATGTATGAAGCAGGGGGATGATGTAATGTCTGTAATCTCCTTTTTCTGCCTGCAAAATCAAGCCAAACAGTTAACTAAAGCTCATGCTGCTTAACGACTTGCTGACTGGTGAAGCAATTGAGTGGTGTTTGCATCAGAGGAAGGAAACCCAAATGAAATGCTGAGCACACCCTGCTCTTTTAAGGCACAACGGCCGAATTTCAGCAAGACAGAAATGCAGCGGCCAGCCAGCTTGGTCCAAGTTCTCAGTCCAAATAAATGTCACCATTTGCCTGCCAGTTTAACAGGAAGACTCTTAAAGCAGCAAGCTGGCCAACATTCTGAGTCTGCAACGATGCTAATGGTCACCAGATTTGTTTCTAGTCACTGGGAGGCCCAAGGATTTGTAGAGATTCATGTTTCTTTTATTAATGAGGAACTGAATTGTGCTCCCACCCCCAAGCACATTTCAATAGATTGACAGGGACAGGGTCTGTCTCAACCTGACCCCTACATGCCACTGCATAGTTGAGTGTAGATAATGTCTGAGGAGACACACAACACAGCGTGTGTGTTACAGTCTTTCCTATATTGTTTAAGGGGGTTTCAAGTGCCAGGTCTGTAACTGCCCAGTGACAGAACTTTCTTTGTTTGGAACACAGTACAGTAGTTCCTCACTTAACGTCGTTCCGGTTAACGTTGTTGTTTCGTTGTTACGTTGCTCATCAATTAGGGAACATGCTCGTTTAAAGTTGCACAATGCTCCCATATAACGTTGTTTGGCAGCCGCCTGCTTTGTCTACTGCTTGCAGAAAGAGCAGCCTGTTGGAGCTAGCTGGTGGTGACTTGGAACCAGGGTGGGCCGGCAGCCCCCCTATCAGGTCCCCACTCCCTAAGTTCCCTGTGAGGCAGTCGCCCAGCAGGCTATCAATTGCCGGCAGTTCAGCTGTCCCTCCCCCCACTGCCATGTGCTGCTCCTGCCCTCTGCCTTGGAGCTGCTCCCGGGAGCCTCCTGCTTGCTGTGCGGGGGGAGTGGGGGAAGAAGGGTGCTAATGTCAGGGTGTTTCCCTGCCCCCACACTCCTGCCACACATCCCCCCGCTCCTTTACCCGATCTCCACAGAGCGGGGGGGAGAGGGGGGGGGAAAGACACAACAGGGCTCAGGACAGAGCAAGCTCGCTGGCAGCAGCTGCTGTCTCAACTTGCTGATCTACTTAAAAAGGCAATGTGCTTAGAGTGCGGTCAGTGTACTTAAAGGGGCAATGTGCGTCTCTCTCTCTCTCACACACACACACGGTGTGTGCCTCTGTGTCTCTCTGCCATGCTGTCTCTCCTCCCTCCATTCCTGCTGCCTTGTAGAGTGTGAGGCTACATTAACAACGTGTTAACCCTTGAGGGCTCAGCCAAGTGCTAGTTCATCATTTAGCAGTAAGGCATTCCCTGGGAAATATCCCACCCTCTTCCACCCTCTGACTTCACCATCTCAACCAAGCTTCACAATCATCATTGCTGTGTACAGTATTAAATTGTTTGTTTAAAACTTATACTGTGTATATGTGTGTGTATATATATATATATAGTCTTTTGTCTGGCGAAAAAAAATTTCCCTGGAACCTAACGCCCCACCCCCATTTACATTAATTCTTATAGGGAAATTGGATTCGCTTAATATCGTTTTGCTTAAAGTAGCATTTTTCAGAAACATAACTACAATGTTAAGCCAGGAGTTACTGTATTGGGGTTCAGGCAGCTTTGCGTGATGAGCTTGCTCCCCAAGAAGGGAGCAGGGAAGTGTTTCTAACAGAGCTGGTCAGGATTTTTTTTAAAGTGAAAAATGGCTACAATGTAAAATTTCTGGTTAAAAAAAAGGGTTTTCAGCAACTGAAAACCAAAGCACTTTGTTTTTTAGCTTTTCAACCCCCTCTGCCCCCTAACTTAATGCAAAATTGATATTTCCCATGGGAAGTTCTGCTTACACCAAAAAATAACCATTTCCCATTGAGAAAACTTCTTGATGGAAAATTTCCAGCTAGCTTTAGTTTCTGATCCTGCACAGCAGAAACAGAATACGGGTCGCTGCATCAACCCCTGCAAAGCCAGCTGGGCCAGAGCAGTACGCAGCAGACCCACCATAGCTCTGAGCCCTGAATAACCAATGCCCGGGCTGCCAGCCCTCAGGGGTTCAAAAGAGAAAATTCCCCAGAAAAGAAACAGATTTACAGGTCTGTCGCATCTTACGCTGGGGTTACGTTCCGCAGTCAGTGCGTAAAGCGAAAATCGCGTATAGTCAAAATTACATTGAGTGTAATGGCGGGCGGAATCGCCCGCACTACAGGTACAGTATTAAAATTGTTATTTTTCTCTTTCTTTTTTGTTTTTGTTTTGTTTTTGCCGACCGCGTAAAGCTGAAATCGTGCATGTTAAATGCGCGTAAGATGCGACAGACCTGTATTTCGCCTAGAAAGGCTCACAGACCCTAGTACCCAATGCAAGTATAACACCCTGGCCTAGTGTGAGTGCTAATGTCTCTGGCTAATATCCTGCCACAGCAACCATCCAGTCTGCTGCTATGGGCCAGGTACAGGAGTTCCACCTTTGCTTAGACAGCAAGAGCTTGTGCTTTTCCTTGCTCGAGAGCCCAGGTTTGATCCTTGCTGCGAACTCTGGTAGCTGTGATTTGAGCACTAGTGCAAATGGCATAATAACCTGGAAGGAGCAGTGACTCTGTGTGTCAGCTGAGAAGCACAAAATCAGCTGCAGCCACATCAACAGTCAGGTGTACAACAACTCCAGCTGACCCCTCTCACTTTACACCTCCCCAGCTCTCAGACATTTCCACACCTTTTCATTCTCTGCTTTCCCCTGCCAGCCTTCCCTTGGGAGACCAACTCAGCGATGGTGGTGAAGGGGAACAGGAAGCACACCTAGCCTCTGCTAAGGGAGAGGGCTCTGCTCTGATCATTGAGATAAGGTGCCTGCTGCATTCACTCTGGCAAGCAGCATGCGGTGGTTTGTGTTTCAGACCGAGACCTTTATTTGATAAGCAGAGAGCCAGAACCCAACCCTTGCTAAAGAGATGGCATCAAGTGTCAATCAGCCAGCCTAAGCGACTGCAGCACTGCCAGTGCCACCGCAACGTGACCATGGCACGGAAATCTGAGATTATACACAGAGATAAACACCCGGAGCCAGACTGCGGGTGTGTGCGTGGGTGGGTGCAGGCGGACAAGCAGATGCAAAGGATTTCTGCCCCCTCCTCCCCCTGCCTAAGGCCTTGTGGCTGTCAGAAGGGCAACAAAGAGACGGGATCTATGGCCTCACTCCATCTCTGCACCAGCCTGCAGAGCAGACAGAGAACACCACGGGGAGCAGCCTGCACCGCCCCCCAGCTCAGGAGGAATAGCCCTAGAGCACTGCCCCCCAGCCATGCCCCTAGCACCCTGGGGCCCCCAAGCCAGGGCCTGGGAGCAGCTCTGTACTGGCTGGGGAGAGCTCCATCAGGGAGAGTAACCTCTGGGGGCATTTCCACCCACTTAAGACCCGATGACACTGGTCACACACATTTATTACCAGTATAGCTATTTCAATTAGTGGGGTGCCTTTTTAGCAATACAGATTTTCTGGTACAGTCCCTAGTGCGGATGCAGTTATACTGGCATAAAGGTGCCTTATATTGATATTGCTTATTGGTCTTCCCTACAGAAATAAGCTAGACCAGTATAAGGCACCTTTATAGCAGTATAGCTGCACCCGCACTGGGGCGAGTGGTACTGCTTTAACTGCCCTGGACTAGTTAGAGCAATACACCTTTTGTGTGTAGACTAGGCCTCAGCATCACTGAGAATCTGGCCCAGAGGCTTCAGCACTGCACAGAGTGGGCAGGCGAAGGTCCTGGAGCTGGAGGTGGGGTATCTGACTAAAGTAAGGAGAGAGGATAATGGTCGCATAGTAGGGCAGCATGCCAGGTCCAGACAGTCCTGGGGAGGGCAGGCGGGACAGACCGGGTTCGCGCTAGGGGTGCAGGAGGGTTTAGAGCAGCCAGATTATAAACGGGAGTCACAGTGCGAGATGTTATAGGTATGCTGGGCTTTGTGCCAGAAGATGAATATAAGAACATAAGAATGGCCCTACTGGATCAGACCAAAGGTCCATCTAGCCCAGTATCCTGTCTTCCAACAGTGGCCAATGCCAGGTGCCCCAGAGGGAATGAACAGAACAGGTAATCATCAAGTGATCCATCCCGTGTCGCTCATTGCCAGCTTCTGGCAAACAGAGGCTAGGGACACCATTCCTGCCCACCTTGGCTAATAGCCATTGATGGACCTATCCTCCATGAATTTAGCTAGTTCTTTTTTGAACCCCAAAAAAAACAGGAGATGAGGAAAAACAGGAGGTGAGATATCAGGGTTTCTCAACCTCAATAGGATGGGGAACTGGCATACAGTCTATGATCTGATCAGCAGCCTGCTTATGGGGAGAGGTGGTAATGTGTAGGTCAGATGGGTGGAGGGGAAGGTGTGTGGTCTAGGCATAGGTGGTCCCTGACACAGAATAGTCAGACAGCTTCTTGTAGCACCTTAATTCTAAGCTACCAGACATTCATCCTTTAACCACAGCACTGTATTTCCCAATTCAGGTGACACCAAACAAATCAGGTCCTTGTGATAAACCTGCTGAGCAACTGGAGGCCAGGACGGGGCAGTGTGGTGAATCTGCTAAGGGTGACTCTGCCACTGCTCTCCTCCTCCAGCCACGGAGGGAGATAGGTCATGGGGGCTGGGGAGGAGGTTCCATGGTAATTGAGAGGGCAGCTGGGGTCCCTGGGAGGAGCGTGGTGGAAGGCAGTTGGTGGATTGGTATCTGGACCCACCCACCCGGCTAAGTACTTACAGAGCTTCCCCGAATTGTGGTGTTCACAGCATGCCACTAAATTACAGGAATGAGGCTGGTGACCACACACCCTCCCTGGCGACAGAGGAAATATTGCAGGGCAGAAACACAGATCAGCCTCCACAATAATTCCAGCCTCCACTGCCCCCTAGTTCGGCCATCCCAGGCACTGAGCTGTGCAGTTAACATCTCTGTGCTCAGAGTCAGAGCTCCAGAGACGGCTGGGATCGTCCTACCCAGCAACATCCATAACAGCAGGAAGAGGCCGCTGCAGGCACAGAGCTGGCCTAGCAACCCAGGTCTGGTCTATACTACCTGCCTGAATCGGCGGGTAGAAATCGACCTCTCGGGGATCGATTTATCGCGTCCTGTTGGGACGCGACAATCGATCCCCAAATCGGCGCTCTAACTCCACCAGGGGAGGTGGTAGTAAGCGCCGCCGACAAAAAGCCGCAGAAGTCGATTTTGCCGCCGTCCTCACAACGGGGTAAGTCAGCTGTGATACGTCGAATTCAGCTACGCTATTCACGTAGCTGAATTTGCGTATCTTAAATCGACTCCCCCCTGTAGTGTAGATGTAGCCCCAGTCAGAGATGCCATGCTGAGGAGGGCCATATAAAGCCATAGTGAGATGGGTATGCTAGACACAGACGGATTCGGTACCAGGCACCAATGGCAGACCTTGCTCTCTCTTCTTACCCTTTCCAGCTCTTTCACCAGGATTTTAACCAAGATGGCACTGTTGAGGGGATTCCGATCAATTTTCTTATGCAAGGTCCAGCGCAACATCCCTGTGAGACCAAGAACAAGGGAAAGGTCAGAAAGCAGTGCTAAGGAGGGAGTGCACCGTGGTAGCTAGGGGTGGCAACTAAGCCATGAGACCTGAGTTCTATGCCTGGCTCCACCACTGACTTAGGGCATGTGCATTCTTGGTCCTGCCACAGCACAGGGGACTGGACTCGATTCCTTCTCAAGGCCCCTTCCAGCCCTATGTTTATATGATTCTGTGATTTTTGCTGCTATAAGCTACATCTTCTCTAGGGGGTTTTGCCAGTTTACAGCTTGTAACTATAACCAGCAAACCCTTTTAAGTGTAGACAGGGCCTCCATGGGGAAGTTTACTGGCATAAAGATACTGGTACAAATATACCACAATAGCTATACTGGTAGAACTCATCATGTGGACGTTTATTCTGGAATAAGTTTCAGAGCAGGAGCCGTGTTAGTCTGTATCAGCAAAAACAACGAGGAGTCCTTGTGGCACCTTAGAGACTAACGCATTTATTTGGGCATAAGCTTTCGTGGGCTAAAACCCACTTGGGGGAGCTATACTGCTGGAATTATAGTGGTGAGTTTCCCCATGCAGACAAGAAACCTTTAGTTACAGCAGTGCAGTTCCTGTGCATGGATAAGTCTTACCTCCCTGAGCACTCTGACAGGAAGTTATAGTCCCAGGGCTTCAACGGAAGCCTCCCACACTTAACACTGCACACATTTCTCAATGGCAAGAGATGAGAGATGCTATCTCTGAGCCATCGCCTTAGCCTTGGCAGCGCTGTCAGTACATGTGCACATCAGAGCCGGAGAGCTGGTAGCAGTGCAGAGTCTCGTGCCAAGGACAGTATCATCAACCCCAAGCAATCAAAAATCATCAGAAAGTCAGATTTTTTTTAAACCACCTGATTTTTCAGCCAGGGATAAATAGTGGATTCTTTTTATTTGCTTGCTGGGTTTTGAGCCGTTAGCTCACAGTGGGGTTCCATTTCCACCCTTTTCTCTGCCACGGTAATGGCTGGAAGCTGGCTTTTTTAAAACAATTGTAGCAGAGAGTCTCATGGCCATTTCCTGATCCCAGGAGCTGGGGCTCTAAGGAAAATGACAGATATTGTGAGACTTGAAGCAGAATCATGGGAGTTGGCAACACTTTAGAGTGTAAGCGCCTGGGGCAGGGACGGTCATTTTTACTTCCCCTGGTTTGTGCAGCACCTAGCATAATGGGGTCCTGGGCCATGACTGGGGCTCATAGGTGCTACAGATACACAAAACAACAACAACAACACTGCAGTGATGAAGAAATGACTATGCACTAACACTTCGCCTTGCTTACAGCTGGTCTGCTCTTGGTTTTTAAATGAAGGCTGAGGCGCCCCAGTCAGAGAAACCAAGAAACAGCAGGCTCCAGGCATTAATTCCAATCTCCGAGTGACTGGGCCCAAGGCACAAAGTGGGGGGGGGGGGGGGGAGGCGAGTCCTCATCTCACCACTATCCCTCTGGAGCTATGTGTGCCTTGCTTTGTACAAATTGTAATTAAATCCCTGACACGGGATTGGATAAATCCATGAATATAAGAATGGCCACACTGGGTCAGACCAAAGGTCTATCTAGCCCAGTATCCTGTCTTTCGACAGTGGCCAATGCCAGGTGCCCCTGAGGGAATGAACAGAACAGGTAATCATCGAGTGATCCATCCTGTCACCCATTCCCAGCTTCTGGCCAACAGAGGCTAGGGACACCATCCCTGCCCATCCTGACTAATAGCCATTGATGGACCTATCCTCCATGAATTTATCTACAAGGGTGCTGGAACAATTTGCATAGTGGGGGTGCTGAGAGCCATTGAACCAAACTGTAAACCCTGGAGATAATGGAAACCACTTCAAGCCAGGGGGTGCGGCAGCACCCCCCACACCCTTAGCTCCAGCACCTATGTTTATCTAGTTCTTTTTTGAACCCTGTTATAGTCTTGGCCTTCATCAAACATGCTCCATGGGGCTGGCCAAACAAAACTGCTTCCTCACGGCTTCAAGGCAGAAGCCACTGCATAGCAAAGATGTGGCTTTGGTCAGCAACAATGGGATGGCTCAACAGCAGCCTGCCCGCCAGGCTCTCCCCATGATGTTACAGAACACGGCACCCCCGGTCTGTAACTGGCAGCAGCATCCAAGAAGACAAAAGATCACAGCACATGAGGGCTCCGTCTTGATCCCAGCAGAATGCCACCTGGACCCAGCTGCGACACTGCATGCTGGGACCTGCGGTCTCCATTATAGAGATGAGGGCAATGGGAATGTGCAGTGGGAATGTGTAAGAAAATGAGGCTGCTGGAATATTATCAATAAGGCATCGGACAGGGCAGTGATTGGGCCCCCACTGGCTCAGACTGCCGGCTTGAGATGTGACGGCATCTTTTGTGCACCTTCCCAAGCAGCAGCTGGGAATGTCTGCCCCATGCATCATCTAGCGGCAGAATTTCACGTACCCGTTTTGATTGATAAACACTAACAGACAGACTCCTGGGGTCACACTGTGAAAGCTGCACGCGGAGATTGTAATGGTCTTCATTTTCCAAGCAGCTGGCAACAATTAGTCATGGAGCCAGATTCTACTCTCAGTCATGTAAGCACCAATCTGGAGTAACTGTGCTGACTTCTGTTACTGACAGAGTAACAGATTAGACTTTGGCCCATGGCCTAGTGGTTACAGCAGTGCACTGAGAATCAGGACTCCTGGGTTCTATACTTGATTCTGTCTCTTACAGCAAACAAGGTGCTCTGGCTCTAAGCTTCATTTTACCCTGGTATAAAACAGAGATGACAATGCAGGCCCGCGTCCCAGAGGAGATGGGGTGTGTAATGATTTCATGGTAAAAAGCCCTTTGACATCTTTGGAAGGAAGGGGTTACAGAAGGGCAGAGGAGGAGTATTATTATTATCATCATCATCACATCTCTATACAGATTCATTGTCTATCGAGCAGTCGTGTACCGTGGTTGCCGTCACACAGACTTTGAAATGCTAGCTGCTGATAACGTACAATAGCAACAAGGATAAAATCCACATATTTCAGTTTTGCAGAGATTGAGGATTAATTTAGGATAAGATCTAATTTTAATTAATGGTAACATTGTGCATCCCCAGCAAGATCTATTTTAATTTTAATTCAGGCTGCCAAGGCTCTGGAACCCAGTTGTTTGACTGACAGCGTAGGGTTTCAGCTCTCCATAACTGGGGCACATAAATAGCCCCATTCAGCTGAGGAGCCCAAAGCATTTTACAAAAAAGGGTTTTGTTCCCATGTTACAAACGGGGAAACTGAGGCACAGAGAAGTTCCGCGAGTTGCCCAAAGCCATGCAGTGACTCAGCGACGTAGCTGGGAATGAAACCCATGATCTCTGTCTCTCAGTGTCCTGGTCTAATCATCCAGCCCTGCACATTAATGAAGGTTATTGGAGACCTTGTGCTGAAGGAGAATGGAGGAGGTTGGCTAGAGCTGCTTTGGAAGCATCATACAGAGTAGCTATAGTGAAGGCATAAGGAGATTTCACAGTAGGAGAAATGGGTGCCCAGAACCAAAAGTTGGTTGAAAATTTTAGTCCCTCTGGGACCAGCGTTGCAAGCCAAGTGCACACAAGGAGATGAGAACGATGTAGAGCATCTGCCAGTGATTCAGTCTGAGTGCGGTGGGAGAATACTCGGCCACCAATGTTCTGGGGCCTCTGATCCCAACAAAATCAGAACAAACAGCCAGGGCAATCTCTGACACTGACCTTGTCTGAGGCACAGAGAACAGGAGAGAGACTGCCAGGAAGCTGAGAGAGGGCCTGTCTTACCTCGCTCACCCTGGAAGGCATGATGGTGTCCATCGAGTTCTCGAAGGAGGGCACGCACGCTGCGCAGAATGTCCGACTCCACCTCTAGTGCAAAGGGAGGGAAAGGATATGAGCAACCAGCACAGCTCTGCTATACTTGGGTAAATACTGGTCCGTGGAACAGACCAGCTCGCTGCATAGGCATAAGGCGCTTACTTTGTATCACCTTCGTTTAGGGTAGGTAGAAAGTGCCACAATTTTACAAAGGTTACGGAACTGGGGAACCCCAGAGATGGTCTCAATAGACTAAGGCCAAAATGTTCAGACATGGTTACTATAGCTAAACTGCTAAATCCACACTGTGAATTCCCTGAGCCATACCGCAGTATAAGAAGCAAAGGGTCTATACAGAGTTTTTGCAACAGAAATTCTTCACAGAATTGTTGAGAGTCCGCAGGAAAAAAATGATTTGGCCACAGACCATCTGTAAACGAAGAACGGAAGCTCCTTCACATTCTGGTATAGCAGTAGCTTCTACGGAGCAATGCCGTTTGGCACCAGCTGAGGAGCCGGCCAGCAATAGGAAGTATGGTCACCATGATAACTGCTCAGAATTTGGGGGTGGGCTGGAACAAGCAAAAAAAATGTTGTTCAGACAGAGTTCAGGTTGTAATACATTGTAGGGAACCTTGTCAGAACGGTGTCGTTAACACATTTGATATTTGAAAGTCAGGAAATGTAGAGTTAAGGTTCTTTTGGAAATCTTAACTCTGTTCTCCTCACCCTACCCTTATGCCTATGTCCTTCAGGCACTGTGTAGCCACTACACTTCTGATAAAAGACATACACTCCTCACTTAGATTGGACACTTTCTGTGGGAAGGACTATCTTTCTCTTCTGTGTTTGCACAGCCCCTAAAACAACAGGGCTCTGCTCCATGACGGGCTGGCACTGCTAGGCAATAATACAAATAATAATAACCACTGTACTGCCCCACTCTACTGAGTGAAGTACAAACTCTCTCGCCCACCATATAGGAGCCAGTGACATTCAGCATATTGCCTGTTTCCTTCCATTTATGAGCCAACCCGCAGACCCACCTTCCGACTGAGGTCAAGAAACCTGTCACATATTACCCTCTATGTACAAATAACTCCCTCCCACACTCACAATTCCACGAAGCCTGTCCGAGCTGTTCAGTCACCATTCCATATAAACCACAAACTGCCTTCCACTCTAAAAACGAGAAACATCACCCTCACCATCTTAGTTGCCTTCCTGACACGTTTCTGAGACCGCAACACTCACAGACAGCTATATGTTGTGCTCAGCCTGGCACCATCCACCCTGCACATACTGGTCTCAAACCTTCAGAGTGCCCCATTTTCCTAGGCAGGTTATAAACACAGAGGAACCATAGAGAAGCAATGAATTCCCCTTGGACATCTCTCTGACACATACAGAACTAAGGGCCATGATAGAGGGGGCTCTGTAGGGAGCAACCCACAAAACAGCTAAGTACTGGAGAAGGACTAGGCAGGAAATCTAGTAATCAAGTTAATAATCAAGGAACTTCCAGGAGGATAGTAAGTTTGGACCAGCTGTTCTGTGTAAGTGTGTAAAAGTAATAGGGTGGACCAGGTGTCTGATTCAAAGACCATTGGAGTTAACATGGAAAGATTCCCATTGATTTCAATGGGCTTTGAATCAGGCCCTACAGCAGCAAAAATTCAATCAAAACCCAAGCTCTCTGTGTTCTAAAATCAGTATGTCAGTCTGACAACTGCAGACCGGCTTCCAGGGACTTAGTGAGTGTCATTAATATCTAGATCCAATTTGCTGAGAGCTGGGAGAAGGCAGGCATGGAGAAAGAAGAGAAATAGTCTTCAGATGAAACAATTAAAGCTGATTTATTCCATAGCTGTAAAAATCCTGCTCCAGGACCCCAGAGGCATCTTGCCTTTCTCTTCATTACAATAATCCATTAATTAATTAAAAAGAGATAATACATTAAGATAATGAAAGATAATTCAGATTTGCATTGTTTAATTCTTTGCAAAGGGCCTTTGTACTTTCTCTCTCTACAGGAAGATGCAGGAGGGAGTTTGCAAAACATTCCTTGACTCGGAATACAACAGTTTCATTCTCTTAACCTGGACCATAACATGCGCATCCAGTTCCACTGATATAGACTGAACTGCAGCCTGTGATGACCCTGGAGGTCTATATTTTACATTATGGGACTGAAAGCAAGTAGCATTCCCACCTTCTTCCTAACAGAAATATACACACAACCTGGCCAAAATTGACTATCCTCTTGGGATTTCCTGTATTATTAACTTAATTACCAAATTTCCTGCCAAATGTGCAGAGTGGATTTTGGCAGGCTGAGCACAGTGTGCAGGTGTAGGTGTCATGGTCTCAGAACCATGTCAGGAAGGCCACTAAGATGACAGTGACAGTGGTGTTTCTAATTTTTAGAGCAGAAGGCGCTTTGTGGTTTATGTGGAATGAATGGTGACGGAGTGTCTGGGACAGGCTTTGTGAAAGAAGAGTCGGCATGGTGGAATTGTGAATGGGGAGGGAACTATTTGTAGTTTGTACGTGCATGAAAATGCTATGGTTTCCCGACCTCAGTTGGAAGGTGTGATGGCTCGTAAATGGAAGGAATGAGGCAAAATGCTAAATGTAGCTGGCTCCAATGTGGTGGGGAAGAGAGTTTGTACTTCATTCAGCAGAGTGTGGTGCTGTACATTGAGGACTTCATCATAGGCCTTGTCTGCGCACAAACTGTCATCAGTTTAAGATATGTTTACACTACTGCACTGCAGCTATGCCGCTGTATGCTGTAGGGTAGACACTTGCTACAGTGATAGAAAGGGTTTTTCCATTGATGTAGTAAATCCACCTCCTTGAGAGGTGGTAGCTAGGTCAAAGAAAAAAATCTTCTGTTGACCTAGTGGTGTCTGCACCAGGGCGTAGGTCGGCTTAACTACATCTCTCAAGGGGGAGAATTTTTCACCCTCCTGAGTGGCATAACTAGGTTAACTAAAATTTAGGTTTCAGAGCGGTAGCCGTGTTAGTCTGTATCAGCAAAAAGAACGAGGAGTACTTGTGGCACCCTAGAGACTAACAAATGTATTTGGGCATAAGCTTTCATGGGCTAAAACCCACTTCATCAGAGGCATGCAGAGGAAAATACAGTAGGAATATATATATATACACACAGAGAGAACATGAAAAAATGGGGTTGCCATACCAACTCTAACAAGACTAATCAATTAAGGTGGACTATTATCAGCAGGAGAAAAAAAACTTTTGTAGCGATAATCAGGATGGCCCATTTCAAACAGTTGACAAGAAGGTGTGAGTAACAGTAGGGGGAAAATTGGCATGGGGAAATAGTTTTTAGTTTGTGTAATGACTCATCCACTCCCAGTCTTTATTCAAGCCTAATTTAATGGAGAGTCAGATCCCTGGACATTTCAGGCTGAGTTTTTCGAAAGCTCTCTAATGGGATCTGGGTGCCCGATTCCCATTGAAAATAAAATGTCTGGGAATCGGGTGTCCCAGTCCCACATTGGCAGCTGGCAAACATTCCCATTCTCCTTTCCCCATCCATTTACCCCAGAGTGGCTACAGGGCACCTCGGTTAAGGATGCTTCTGTGAATTAAGGCCTCTTGAATTAAGGACTTTGTTGATAAAGCCACTTGAGCTAAGAGAGAGAAGGCGGGTGAGGTAGTATCTGTTATTGGACCAACAAGACCAAAGCTTGTCTCTTTCACTAACAGAAGTTCGCTCATTAAACATGTGATGTTATATGATTAAAATATGACCATGTAGATCATTGTTGCTACCACTGTTATATAATTGCAACAAATCTTGTACAAAGTATGTCATGTAAGGTGTCAATGAAAAGGTTATTGTTTGCTGAATATGATTATCCTATTTGTGTGCATGCATAATTTTTATATCTAAAGTTAAGAATATTGCCTATATATCTGTATTTCAAATGTGTTCACTTCTGTGGTCACACCCACAAGGCAGCTTACTTCTAGTCTGGCCAGCACACTGTGAAGGGACTATTCAAGTTGAATGGCCCATCAAAGAGCACTTAACTCACAATGGACCATAGAAGAGGTTTATCCCTACCTGATGGACCTTCCTGTGGATGTTCTAGCTAGAATATGGGTAACAGTGAAGCATGCAAGGAGATGTGACTAGATCATGTGACATTAAATTCCATCTTGTTACCTGTATTTTTCCACAAACTGTGCTGAGGGCTTTGTTTGGGACAGTGAAGTTCCCTCCACATGGCAGAAGCTATAAAAGGACCTGGAAACATCTCCATTTTGCCTCTTTCCTGCGCTGAGCTCTGGGCTATGGACTTATACTAATGGGAGCATTCTAACCAAGGGCCTGAGGACCTTCCAAATCATTTGGAAGCAACCAGAGACTTAACAAATCAGTAGTTTATTCCATCACTGCTCCAAGCCTGATCCAAGAACTTTGCAATTATTGTTCGTATTTGATTCCTTTAACCAATTTTAACTCTCACCTCTTTCTTTCTTTTTATAAATAAACCTTTAGATATTAGATACTAAAGGATTGGCTGTAAGCATGTATTTGGGTAAGATTTGAAATATTCATTAACGTGCTTGGTAATGTGTCCGATCCTTTGGGATTGGTAGAACTTTTTATATGATGAACAAAATTTTTGGTAATCCCCATCACATATGACTTGGCTGTCTGGGAGGAAGCCCAAGGCTGGGTTGCTTTAAGGCAGGGGTGGGGTGGGTCTGATTTGGCCCCCTGCTTTATTTCATCAGGCCCATGGCAAGTCTCCCCCTTGATCCGGAAGCCCTGAGCCTGGGTGCCCCCTCCCCCCGTGGGGCTGGAGCTGCGAGCGCCGGCTTGCCCCGCTGTGGGGGGAAGCTAGGGTCCCAGGTCGGTTGGTCGGCTGTCCCTGCGGCCCTGCCTAGGTGTAGGGGTGATTAGGGAAGCTCTGAGTACACATGCGCCTACCCCCGCCCGCAGACATTGCCCCCGCAGCTCCCATCGGCTGGGAACTGCGGCCAATGGGAGCTGCGTGGGCGGCGCCTGCCGGCACGCCTCTGGCTGGCAGTGCACACTGCGCAAAGTCGCCTGGCCACATCGTGGCCACTTCCGGGAGCGGTGCGGTGCCAGGACAGGGTGGGAGCCTGCCTTAGCCCTGCTGGGCCGCCAACCAGGAGCTGCCTGAGGTAAGCAGCGCCCAGCCGGAGCCCAGACCCCTCACCCCCTCCTCTACCCCAACCCACTCCCAGAGACCACACACCCACCCCGAGCCCCATACCCAAGATTGGAACCCCCTCTCGCACCCCAATCCCTACCCTGAGCCCGCACCCCAACCCCATGTCCCAGCCCTGAGCCTGCTCCCACATTCCAAACCCCTCAGCCCCAGCCTGGAGCCCCCTCCCGCACTCTGAACCCCTCATTTCTGGCCCCACCCTGGAGCCTAGGGAAAGCCCCGAGCCTCCGTCCCCCCACTCCCCACAGGGCTGTGTGTGGCCTGCAACTGATTTTTTCTGTGGGTCAGTGGCCCCCGATAGAAAAAAGGTTCCCCACCCCTGCTTTAAGGGAACTGTGTTTTGGCTTCTGTGTAGCCAATAAGGTATTGTAGAAGCTGTTTTGTTGCTGGCTTGGTGAATCTAAGTATTGAAATATCCACCAGTTTGGGGAATTGTCTGTCCCATTCTTTGCAGTTTGCCCTATTTGAGCAACCTCAGCATGCCCCCCCGCCCCCAGACCCCGAACGATTTTACCTCTCTCTCATATCCTGGGACCAACAGGGCTACAACAACACTGCAACCAACTTTAGCTAAGGATGTCTTTGCTAAGGAGTTCTGCATTAAGGACACCTCGATTAAGGAGGATGAGTAAGGTTGCTACACCTCCTAGGATGATGTGGGGTGCACTCCTTGCTTTCTGGTTAATCATAAGGATATGCCAATAATTAACTAGCTGGCTCTATGCAGTATTTTCTATCCCTGTTTTCCTTGTCCTAGCTACAGCACTGACCGATAGCTAAACGCTAACTGCACCGTACCACGTTACCGTAACTGAATTACAGGTGTTGTGTGGAGCGACGCCTATCCTGGCATTAAAGCTGCATTTTCCATTCTAAAGGGCCTTTCCCAGATGCTTATAACTTTGTCAAACATTTACCTCTCAGGCTGAAATTTTCCATGTTTGGTCTTGGGCCCAAAGCAAATTTTCTTAGGAAGCCTGAGCAAAAATGGTTGAGCCATTTCTGAATGCCCAGAGATTTTTGTCATTATAAACAAATATCCATGTTTGCAATCTTTGTGTGATCAGCTCTAGCACTGGGCGAACCAGCATCATAAAATCTGAATGGCGAATCTAAGCTGGAGGCTCAAACAGCCCTGTGCAGAGAGCCAGCAAAAGGCCCTTGAATTACTTAAGTCCCATTTACATCCTCAAAAAAGCATCTAAGGGTACGTCTACACTTACCGGAGGGTCCGATGGCAGGCAATCGATGTTCTGGGATCGATCCCGGAAGTGCTCGCCGTCGACGCCGGTACTCCAGCTCGGCGAGAGGAGTACGCGGCATCGACGGGGGAGCCTTCCTGCCGCGTCTGGACCCGCGGTAAGTTCGGACTAAGGTACTTCGAATTCAGCTACGTTATTAACATAACTGAATTTGCGTACCTTAGTCCGAAGTGGGGGGTAGTGTGGACCAGGCCTAAGTGGGACTTGTAAAGACACTGAGCTGGCCTCAGGAGACCTGCGTTCAATCCCTTGCTCTGCCACAGGCTTCCTGCATGACCTTGGGCAAGTCACTTAGTCTCTCTGGGCCTCAGTTCCCCCATCTGTACAATGGGGACAATAATCTTTCCTTTGTCTGTCTTGTCTATTTCACTGTGAGCTCTCAGGGCAGAGGCTCCTTCTCACTGTGTGTTTGTGTGGTGCCTAGCACAATGGGGTCCTGATCTCGACTGGGGCCGCTAGGTGCTACGGCCACACAGATAGTAACAGCTTACACAGTGTATTAATATCTGTGAGGTAGGTAGGTAAATGTAATCTCTACTTTACACAGGGGAAAACCGAGGTACAATGAAAGGAAAGGAAATGGAACTAGAACCCTGTCCTACAAGCGGCCTTTCTCCTAGACTGCCAACCCTGCACCTTAGTCATACCACCATCTTTCCTCCCTGGGCCCACAGCACTACCAGCCCAGGAGGGCAACCTCCCTAGTCATTAGATGGACTTATTTCTCACCCAGCCTCTCGCTCTGCTGAAGTGCATAGGGCTGCCTTGGCCAGCTTGCCTTTCCCTGCTGCCTCAGCCCACCCGCTCAGGGAAATTGCTGGTGATCACAGACCTGTGTTCTCCATGAATGGGCAGGGAGCAGATGTGTCTGTTTCAGCACTTCTTGAACAGTAGGGCGAGCAGGTGGCAGCTTCTCACTCAGCACTTGCATGGCCTTGCGTCCTGTGTCTCGCCTGCAAAACAAGAGAGACGCTGGTGAAATCTCAAGAGGAAGGTGGGATCAGACCGGCCCAGGTGTTAACATGAGAGAGGGAGGGGGCACAAATAGGGAGATGCCACTGAAATGGGCAGCCACAATGGGCACCGAGGGCCAGGTTCCCAGGAGAGCTCAGCATCCACCAGGGAGCCCACGGACCCTAATCGCCCTCTTGTTCCAGCCTCAGCAGGGGCCAAGGATTGAGTGAGCCACGGAGGAGTCTTGCTGCCCATGCTGCCCCTGTTCTCAGGACAGAGGGAGGCCTTTAGTCTCAGGGGCATTCAATCTGCACTGCTCACCATGAGAGGTCTCATCTAGGCCCCTCTGAGCTGCTGGTCTCTTACTAGAATCTCATCAGGACCTGCAAGCTTATCTCCATGACCAGGCCTGTGGCAGCCTCCCAGAGGGGGGCAGAAGACCTGCTGACGCTCCTGCTGCACAATCCCCAGCTCCCTGTGCAGGCACACCAGAGATTGGCCCTGGCTGGTGTCACCAGGACCAGAGACCTCCTGGGCTCCGTCTGGAAGGACTGGCTGAACCCTGGGTGTTTGCCCTGCACGTGGGGCTACTCACACCATCTGCTCCATGAGGTGAGGGCTGCCTGCCCCTGCCTCTCTTACTTATCTCGAGCAGGCCCTGCAAGAGGATGCACCCAATCTGCCCCTATCCCCTCACCCTCCAGAGCTCACCATTGGGCCCCTGCTCCGCGAGCCCCAGCAGCCATGCTCAGTGCGCTACCTGAGCATGCCGAATGATATCGAGTCAGTCCGTCTCTGAACCATGCCTAGGGGGCATCTCCATGCTCTCATGCCCCATACCATGCATTTCCTCACCCTCACGTCCCACCCCGACCCAACTGCAGGATGTTCGACCATGGGCCAGTCTTTATTCCACCCTGGTACCTCGGCCCACTGGGGATATTAGTTGGTAGCTCCTGCATGGAGCTGTGAGCATGGGCGTGGTTCACAGGTGCCCAACACCTGTCGCTTCTGCAGCGAGAGGGAGACCCTGGCAAATGCCTGCCACCAGTGCATCAGGGTGCAACCCCTTTTTTGGCTCCTCCAGAACCTCCTGCTGAGGCGCTGTCTGCACTTCTCCTCACATCTACTTCCGTGCACGTAGCTCTCCCTCTGTGGTCCCACAAAGGCATGAGAGCTTCTCGTCAGCCTCCTCCTGGCACTGCCCTTACTGGCCACCCACCAGCCCAGGACTAGGCAGTTCAACAGGAGGAGGGGGCTGCTCTGCGACCGCAGGGCCTTTTCTCATTTCCTGGTCGTATCACACACACAGACAGTGTAATCCTCTGGACAACGTCCACTAACTCCCTGGACTCTTTCACCAAGCAGCGGGCGCTGCCTAGGGCTCTCTGCTGGGTCCCCCTCTGCTATCCTGGTTTTTCACCTTTCATCTGCACTCCCCTTCCCATGTTTTCAATTTTTGTTCCAAGCAATCAGTTGGCTCCTGGGTCCTGTGGCCCCTCCCCCACCTGGTGGGTGGGCTTTTTATCTTACCCCTCCCCCAGAATTCAGATAGGCTGCACTGCCCCCAACAGGGCATTCACTGGGAACAAGCCAGGGGAACTGCCAGGAGGGTTGGAAAAGGAGAATGGGGACTCCCCAATAAAAGTGGGTAGGGATTTAACTCAGGCAAGCTGGCATCTGTCAGGGAAGTAGGTCTGATGGAACAGAAAGTGCCAGGAAGACGACAAAGGGGAAGGCCTCTTGGGCTTTCCCTGGGCACGGCAGGGGGATTTGCTAAGGCAGCGGTGTAACTGCTGCAGCAGAAGCAGTCTCGACTAGCGGGAAAGCACATGCCTAGCTTGGACTCCCTGCTGCCAGAGTACAGCGAATGGAAGCATAAAAAGTACACGCAGTCTCCCGCACCCTCTTGCATCCAGGCACGGCACTACAGGGAGACCCTGCCCTAATTTCCCTGATGCGGCCATCTGTAAGGTCAGCAAGGTTGATACGTATTGAACTGTGCCCCCCTTCTGAGGGTCTTGGTCATTAGCAGAAAATTCAGCAGCACCACAAGAAAGCCCCTCACCCAGGCTTCTTAGCAGGGAGGCAGACTCCAGCTGAACTTGTCAATCCCATGTTTACAAGGCCCTCCCAACCTGGATTCCCTCCTGGAGCCAGGGCCTTCCTGTCCCTTCCTCGCAGGCTGGGCCTCCTGCAGCTCTCTGGGAGCTCCTTCCCCAGGGAGCACTGCTCCTGGGCAGCTCCCTCTCCCTACCAGCAACCCTGCCCCAGCTGAGCTCTGGCAGCCTTGCATCAGGCCCAGGTGCTCTTCAGCTAATTAGCTGCCAAGCAGCCACCTAGGCAGCTGCTCACAGGTGGGCTGAGATGGGCTCGTTCGCCACAATGAAACCCATCACCCTGACTCTCCTCACAGGGGCCAACCAGCCACCCCGTGGCAGGCCAACAAAGCAGAGACTGCTACCTAGTGCTTGTCACGTCTAAAGCAGCTTCACAGAGATGCTAATGGAAGAGCTCGCTCAGTGTGTCACTGACGTGCTGATGCTGGGCTGTCCTATGTTCTCCAGCCAAACTGAAGGGAAGGTTGGGAGAGGGGTTCCCCTGCCTAGGATGGCATGACAGCTGCCATTGCAGCCCTTTGGAGAGACCTTCTTGTAGAAACACACTGCAGAGCAGATCTGGGCCTTCAGAAGGGGCCTGGTGGCACCAAGGGTCAGGGATTCTCCAAAAATAGCCCAATCCCCCCACAGGGTCTTTAACCCCCCTCCATAACACACACACACTCTGAATGGCACAAGCTGAGCTGTACATGGTCGTCCAGATCTCAGCAATTATCCTGGTGTCAATTGGGCATCATGCCAATGAAGTCCATGGGGCTGACTCTCTTTCAGCCAGCACCTTGCCAAGTGAGATGTTACCGCCCTGCTCTTTTAGGGCTTTCCAACCAGTTTGCACTGGTGCAAATGATGGTCATTGGCAATGGTGAGTGGGGCCCGGTGGGGCTATCCTGGGGCACAAGCTTGTCTGGGTTAGAGGAGAACCTGTTTCATGCACATCTCAGAGGTACAGTACAGTATAAACACTTCCAGCCGTTCCACTCACTTCAAGTCTGTTTGCCAGAGGACTCTGCTCCTTGACTGAGGGAGAAAAAATGGACAGATCCCCACTGGACACTAGACTTCCCTCAGGGGAAGTGGGGGTGGGGTATTTCTGTGAGAACCCCATGTTAAAATATTAGCAGCCCATCCCTGAGGTGAATATCGTTATTTCTGCTTTATACGTGGGGAAAAAGAAAAACAAAGAGATTAACTGTTCTCTTCAGGGCTGCCCAGGAAGTAAGTGCTAGAGCCAGGCATTGAACCCAGGCGTCCAGTCACCCAGAGTCTGTTCTTCAGCTGACTTTGAAAAGTAGAGTAGCTTTAAGCTTCAGCTCCTCCTAGTGCTTCTCTCCCCCTGGATTTGGGCTCCTGCCGGATGCCCCTTCAGGGATGTAAATGACTTGATTTGAGGGATGAAACCCCCCCTGCTCCCACCCTGCTGCCTACGCTTCCTTTTCATCAAGACACGCTGACCTGCAGCCAGCCACGTGCGCAATGTATAAATCAAGTACATGACTGTCACAGCACAGCAGTGGGCAGCCTCGCCTATACAGGCCTCTGCCAGGGCAGGCTTAACTCACTGGCTGTCCCGTTACCTAGGGAGAAGCAACACCACAGCCATCCCCACATCAAACCCCTCCTAATCACAGTCCAAGTGGCTCAGAGAATCAGAGGCCACAAGGCCATCTCCCACACAGCTCTGTCAGGGTCTTTGCAGGGCACCAAGAGAGGAGCCAGCCAGGAACCTGATGGCTTCCCCTGGCGCTGAGGCCTCATTGTTCTCTTCAGAGACAGGGGAAAAAAACAAGAAGTGGAATAGGAAGGAAGGGAGATTTGTCTGCGTCACGCCACCATGCTCACTCTGGCATGGCTGGGACCTGGCCATCACTGCTCAGGAAGGCCGAGGACTGGGTTAGCGGTTCATGCTGCAGAGCATGGAGTACAGGCAGAGCTGTGTGCAGGAACAGGACTGGAGTAGCAGGGAGGCTGTGGGTTGGGACTGAGGGGCATCAAGAGAGCTGGGTGTGGGGAGCCCAAGACTGGTATGGTGGGGGGTTCTGTGGGTCGAGATTGAGGAGCATTGGCAGAGCTATGTGCACGAGGAAGGTGAGCCCAGGAATGGATAGCAGGGGAGACTTGGGTCAGGATTGAGGGACATCAGTAGAGCTGTATGGGGCCAGATCACGGTACGCTCAGCTTTAGCGAGTGCTGTCAGCTACTCACTTACAAGTGGACGTGCTCAGGTTGGCGGCAGGGAATGGGAGAAAAGAAGGACTTCATCTGGCAGCTTATCCACCAGCCAGCCAGCCTGTCACAGAACAGCGAGTGACAGGGAGTGCCAAGAGAGAAGGAAGCAGGGCCGCCCAGAGGATTGAGGGGGCCTGGGGCAAAGCGTGGGAGCTGCGGCGCTTGTACTCACCCGGTGGCGGTCCGGGTCTTCGGCGGCATTTCGGCAGCGGCGGGGCCTTCAGTCGCTCCGCGTCTTCGGTAGCACTGAAGGGCCCCCCACCGCCAAAATGCCGCCGAAGACCCGGACCGCCACTGGGCCAGGGCTCGCGGGGCCCCTGTGGGGACCGGGGCAAATTGCCCCACTTGCCCCCCCTCTCCCTCCCCCCCGGGCAGCCCTGAGAGGAAGAGAGGTGGGGACTGAGGAAGGAGGGATAGCTCAGTGGTTTGAGCGTTGGCCTGCTAAACCCAGGGTTGTGAGTTCAATCCTTGAGGGGGCCATTTGGGGATTTAGTTGGGGATTGATCCTGCTCAGAGCAGGGGGTTGGACTAGATGATCTCCTGAGGTCCCTTCCAACCCTAATGATCTATGATTCTATGATCGGGAGGATTCTTTGTGCAGACACAAGCTCCAGGAACTTCCAAACTCTTCAGCAGCAATGCCAGGCAGCATG